GATGGTACATTGTAGAGTGCCGTTGAGGATAATTGACGCAATTAATTTTATAGTATTTTAAAAATAATGCATTTATACGCAATTATAAGGTGCATAATTGTCATTGGGTACATATACATTAGGCGCATAATACATATACATATTCATATATTAGTTTCTTAATACAATGCTAGGGCAAGTAATTGGTGCTGTTATTTTTATTTTTACATGTTAACATGATGCTGTAGGCGATTGGATGGATAAACCAATATATATACGTACTAATATACATATACACAACTTTTAGGCACATAATAATCACTAGATTCTCAGACATTAGGTACATGGTATACATATACATATATATATATAGATGGTTCATAATACAGTGCTATAGAAAGTGATAAAAATGCAGTTAATTTTATAGTAAGATTCTAGTTTAACACGATGCGAAACGGCTTCATGTTACACAGTGTTAAATACTGAGGCGCATGAATACAGTAATATTTCTACTTGTTAATACTATATATATATACAAAAATATACAAATATTAGGTGCATAATTAACATAAGATACATAATTATTAGATGCATATGCATATATAATACATAAGATACATTAAGCAACAAGTACATAAGTATAACACTGGAACAATTCATTGGTGCTGTTAGTTTTAGTGTAAGATACCTAGGTTTAACGCTGTGTGCTACAGTGCCATGCTACAGGATGATATGCGCGGAGCCATGGATTCAGTAATATACATACTAAAACACGTATACACAATTATTAGGCACGCAGTAATCATTGGATTTATAAGCATTTTATATACATGGTACATATACAGACGATACATAATATATAAACAAATATATATATATAATATATATAATAAATGCTATAGAAGTTAGTTAATGCAATGGATTTTTTTTTTTTAGAATTAAGACTTTAGATTAACACTATGCGGTTAAAGTGTCATGTTGCCTGATGTTATATTCGGATGCATGGTTACATTATCATACATACGAGGATATATATACATAGTATTAGGCACATAGTAATCATTGGGCTCTCAATCTTAATGCACATAGTACCTTAGTCTCGTAGACCTTGAAAGTACGTAATAAGGTTCAATTGGTGCTATTAATTTGATGAATGCTAAATATATTAATACAATAATGCAGCAATGATTAATACAGTTAATGATCAATACAGTAACATTTATACTAGAACATATATATACAAATACAAGGCGCATAATTACATTGAGTATAGAATCATTGGGTGCATTATACATATACATCCATAAAACATAACTACATTGTAATGGTACTTAAGATACATTTATAAACAGGCACAGATGGTCCTTATTTACATATTGCGGTACTGATAATAGACATAATTTGTTTGGTTGGCATAATGCAAACTGATTAAATAAGTGAGCAGTAAACACCAGTTCTGAAATCGCGGCAGATAACAATGACAGATTTTTGGCGCATGCGCAGATCCTTAAAATTGTTGCTCTACGACAAAGTCGGCTGAGAAAATCGCTTCGTGTAGACGGGCCTTAACGTAGGTAGTGCGATTTAAAGCTGCTTGAAAACTTACATACAGTTAATATTAAGCACACACACACACACATCGTACTTTATTCTCGAGTGTCAAGATGTAGAAACATCTTTTTACTCGACTTCTGATAAGGATCAGGTAGGGGCAAGAAAGAGTAGGGTGAAAGGAGTGTGGGAGGCGGAAAAAAGAGAGTGAGGTCCACACTAGCAGCGGCGAAAAAAGGGGCGGGATTGGCAAGTTCAGTGTCGTTATAAGATGTAGCCGCGGGTGCTAAATCGCAGAGTCAGTTTAGCGTGAATGAGTCAATTAAGGTTGTGATTCTTATGTGGATAGGATGTCACAAGGGTAACGATGTTTTTCTCTGGGATGCGGGGAGTGTCTGAGGGTGCTAATAAGGCTATTACTGTGGGTTTGCACTGAATAAAAGAAGTTTAATATACTCTTGAATAAGTTCGATTCGAAGATCTCTGTGAATATAGATGTTTTGAATATACCAAGGAGCATTGATAATTTCCCGTAGAATTTTATTTTGTAGAATTTGCAATTGTTTAATATTGGTTTTAGCTGCATGTCCCCAGATCGGTGCTGCATAAAGGAGGGCTGGGCGCAGTATGGAGCGATATAGAATTAATTTGTTTGTAGTAGATAAGTTGCTTTTTCTACCAAGAGGTCGCAGAGTAGCTGTGGTGATTTTAAATTTTTGTACTACGGACCGGAAGTGGGTTCTGAAGGTAAGGTTTTGGTCAAAGGTGACTCCAAAGTATTTGATTTCATTAATCCAGTCTATTTCTTCGTCAAATATTTCAGGGGGTGGAGGATAGTATTTCATTTTTCCTTTACGAAAATTATTGCCTTAGTTTTATCAGTGTTAATTTTATCCTCCAAAAGGTAAGCCAATTTTTCAGTTTATGAGATAGTTTGGAGTTGGTTCTTATGGCGATAACTGTGCAGGCTTTAGTAAGTATGGCGGTGTCATCGGCAAAGAGTGCAAGATGAACAGAAGGGTCTTTAAGGATGTCTTGTGTATAAATATTAAACAGGTACTGTGAAAGTGCGGACCCCTGTGGGACACCAGCATTGATTACTCTGGTGGTAGAGTAAGCAGTACCGATTTTGATTCTGAATGTTCTGTTGCTGAGAAAAGAGGCTATTAAGCGAATAAAATTATCTGAAATTGAGAGTGATTAGTTTGTAAATAAGGCCTCGATGCCATACCCTGTCAAAAGCTTTCACAATATCGAGGAATATAGCACCGGTAGGAAGCTTTCAGTTGTAGCCTTCAGTGATAATGTTGATAACTCTAAGAAGTTGGTGGCAAGTGCTATGATGATTACGAAAACCGAATTTTTGTTCTGGGAGAAAATTCATGGAAGGGTGAATTTTTTGGATGTGGAAAAGTAGGATTTTCTCAGTAACTTTAGACAGATGGCTAAGTAAACTGATAGGGTGATAGTTCTGTGGGAGAGTTGGATTTTGTTGCGGTTTAGCAAAACAATTATTATAGCTTGCTTCCATGAGTCAGGAAAATGTGCGAATTTGATAATGTTCTTGATTATCTTAGTTAGGCAGGTAAGAGCGTTGATCGGAAGATGCTTCAGTGCTTTGGTCGAGATGCCATCATGCCCTGGGGCTTTCTTCGTTTGTAAGGCGCTGATGGTGTTGGCAACGATTGTTGGGGGAGTCAGGAAAGTGAAGTTGTACGGAGCAGGGGTATTAAGGAAGTTATTGACCACCTGGTTGACTCGTTCAATATGGTTATTGTCGTACGGAGTGGGATTAAGAGTGAATGTATCTTCCATATAGTCCGCAAAAGATTTAGCTTTATCTTCTCTGTATATGAAATTCCACTAGGTACATGGATGGTGGAATAGGTTTATAAGGTTTCTTGAATTTGCGGGATGTCAAATAGGGAATTGTCCTCTATAGCTAGGTTATTTAGGAAATTGGTCCATTTTTGGTTTTTGAAGTTCTTGATTCTTCTGTTGATTTCTTTTTGCATAGAGTTTAGTTCGTGTTTGAGTTGTGTATCCCTGGTGGTTTGCCATCTTTTACGGATCTGGTTTTTCTCTTTAATGCTATTTCTTATATCGGCAGGCAGGAGGAGGAAAGGCTTGTTCACATAAAAAGTATTAATGGCTTCCTTTAAGTTAATATTAAAGAACCTTGTATACAGCTTCGGTGCGATTTGCGTAAAGGCCTAGAGGCTATTCAGACAAAGTCCTTGATTCAGACCGTCGGTGCGATTAGCCACTGCGGCACCTACCCGTGACCTTCTCCCTCTCGAAGGTCATGACCTACCACGCTACGCGTCTCAGGACCCATAGTCAAGCATTCCTCTACCTGAAGCGCCAGTTTTGATGACAGCCGGAATGCGTTGTGCGAAATTGCACAATAATCGCTGCTTGCGACGACACTTTGAACTTGGATCATATTAGAAATGGACAAAACATACATATTTATCAATACGAACGTAAGGCTGAGAAAATTTTTCAAAGAAAAGTTATTACGCCGTTCGTTTCCGTACATGTATTCATAGACTAAGCTCAATGCATTAAAATTTGCTCTTTTGTTAAAGTAGTTTCTGTAATTTTGTTTATTAGCTTATCTAGCTTAAACCTAAATACTTTTAGCTAAATTATGAAAAAATAATTGAAAACTTTCTAAATTTAAGGCTAGAATATCCACTGAATCTTCTATCGAAATTAAAAAATTTTTACTGTGGTTTAAAGTTTGTCTAGATCAGAGACTTTTACGTAATATAATGGTCTTTTATTCACGACAAAGAAAATGTATTTTCCAATAAAAATATGCATTTATGTCAATACAAAAACAGCTAAAAATTTCCGCGAACTAAATATCATCGAAGGAAAACCTTTTCCGGTTGGATCCTTAACCGGAAATCAGATTATTAGCGTCACTGATGTGAACTGATGTCTATAAACATTTTTATTTTTAAATGCAAGCAAAATTAACCACGAAATTATAAATATATAAACAAATATTTGTTAACTCAAATGCCATTGCCTTTCACTTGAAGCAGTGGATTTCCTGTTTTTCAAGGAATATTTTCATTGGGCTGTAAGAGTATCAGTTTTGCTTAAAATTTTAAACTTTAACGTTCTGAATTTGTTATCAGAAAATTATAAAATTTCCCATTATGTATATAATGCATATTTTCACTTCCCTTGAAGAGAGGGAAGGAGAATCTTTTTCATTTCTTTCTTTATTTTTTAATTCAAAATTTATCTGCGGGATTAGGAATTACACCGGTGGGTTGCTGTGTTCTTTCTTGGGGCTGTTTACAGCCGATTTTTATCATAGTAACCCACGGGGCGGATTATTTATCTCATATCAGTGAGTATGATTATTTCGTTTATAATTTGTTTATATGTTTCTCGTGAATTTCAAACGCCTCATTTCAAAGCCCTCTTTAAACTCGAAGTTATACGTATAGTGACAGCTCTACATGTAGGCTTAGTAGTACGTAGACGTAAAGTGTGAGTAAACTTGGGTCATGGGGAGTTAACATAGCGGGCGTGGCGAGGAAGTACTTTGATTCTAATTTAAAGATATGAAAATTTTAATTCTAATGTTCGAACGTGATCTGACATATTATAGTTTCGCTTTTCTTTGTTACAGTATAATAGTTCTGTGTAAGTAACTATTGAAACGTCGATTTCTTAACTTTGAATCTATTTATTATTCAAGTCTGTTTTAAATGAAATGTCTACTTGGTTAATTTCTAGATTTTCTAATTTATTTCAGTTATAACATTTTTGCTACAATATCATTGGTGGTGTATTTTTTGTTGCTGTTTAAAACTTGTTACTTTTTAGTATTTTCATTATTGCTGTTATTTCTTTGTCAAAGTAATTTCTTCGTTCTTTATTATTAATATTTGTAATAAAAAATGGAAATTGTTTTCTGTAAATTTTTATACTTAATATTCTATATAAAAATTTGTATTAATTCAGTTGTGATAATTGATTCAAGTAGTGGCAGTATATTTTAAATCAAGTAGCATTATATATTTTGTTTCTTAACTGCAAATTTAAAATCAATCTCACAGAAACTATACCCCCAGTTTTAAAGATTTTAATTACATTGTTTTTATTTTAGAAATTTTAGTGGGAAGTCCCTTCAATTTAATTTAGCTGTGCCCTGATGACGGAAATTCATAGCTTTGGTGTTGAACCAATAACCTGTCATGCTTGGAATAATGATAGGACACGTGAGTATTGCTCTTTTCTAAGTCAGTATGTATATTTCTTTATTGGTTGATTATTTATGAATAACCTGAAAGAACAGTAATTAAATCCTGTTATCATATTCAAAGTGAAAGATGATTTTGTTTGAATATATGCATGTATATTATGTTGATAGTTCTTTAGTAGCTGAATTCTTCCTCGAGAATAGCTTTTACCTTGAGGCTCATTTCAGGGTTAAATGTTTGCTATTAAAAAACTCATTATTAAATGTAAAATTTGTGTCTCAATATGATAGAAAGAATACTTATATTCATGCAAAACACAGAATTGCTATCTATAATCATAATATAAGTGAGCTGTATAGAGAAATTATACTTCTTTTATCAGATGCTTAATATATCATAAAATGTCTGTAGTTTTTATTTTTTGCTAATTATGAAATCCGGTCTGAGAATGTGCTGTACTTTTATGTTTTAGTAGCAGTATACCTGTTCTTTGTATTGGAAAGGGGACAGAAGAAAAGTAGTTTTGTATGAAACATGAAATATTAGCTAAGTTCGTAGAATTACTAAGGGAAAAAAGCTAATATTGAAAGAAAGGAAAACTTCTCACGTAACGAGAATTGCGTTTTGGTATATTGTGTACCAATTCAATGAAATATATATTCTAAAATGGTAAAAGAAAAACATACTGAATTTTGTAATTGATAATTTTTAATGCAAATGTATATTGTTTTCTTTTTAGAGTCCATTAATATGTACGAGGGGTGATCCAAAAAGTTTACAAGGCAAATGAAAAAGTATTTATTAATAATAGAAACAAGATACAAATGGGAATCAAGAGACGCATCTGACCTTCACTTTTCCACATAGTCGCCAAACCTGTTTAGGCATTTGTCAGAACATTCGACCAACTTGTTTATCCCGTCTTGGTAGTAATCGGGGCCCTACTCATTGAGCCATTTCTCGGCAGCTGTTTTCTCTGCATCTTCTGAGGTGAACCGTGTTCCGGATAAGTATCGCTTCAACGCCGGAAAAATGAAATAGTCACTTGGAGCCCAAATCGGAGTTGTATGGGAGGTGATTCCAGACCTCTCACTGGAACCTGTGCAGCAATTCCTGAGCCTGGCGAGCTGTATGGGGCCTGGCATTGTCATGCAGAAGAATGACGCCTTTGCTCAGTAATCCAGGCCGTTTGCATCGGATGGCTTTATGCAATTTCGTTAAGGTGGCACAATAACGATCGGCCTTAATGGTATGGCCACGCTCCAAATACTCGATTAGGAGAACACCAGTCATATCCCAGAAAACAGTTGCCATCACTTTACCAGCAGAGGGTGTGACCTTTAACTTCTTCCTCATCGGTGATTTAGCGTGTTTCCACTCCATCGTGGCTCTTTTGGATGTGGGGGTGAAGTGATGAAGCCATGTTTCATCACCGCTAATGATGCGATCAGTGAAGTGTTGGCTGTCTGAATGGTATCTCTGAAGAAATGTGAGGCTGCACATCATTCGAGTGGCCTTATGCTCCGTGGACAATGCACGTGGAACCCAGCGGGCTTAAACTTTGGAATATCGCAACTCATCGGTTACGGTACGCTGAATGTTACCATAACTCAGGTCCAACTCTGAGGCAATCTCATGCACGGTTACTCGTCGATCCCTTTGGATGATTTCTTCAACACGTGCTGTGTTGATATCTATCCTTGAAGAACTTGGACGGCCGCTCGCTTCCATACTGCAGTTTTCCACATGCTCCCTGCCCGCTTGATAAGAACGACACCATTTCAGTACCTGTTTTCTACTCATTGCTTTGTCCCCATATGCCTCAACGATTTGTCTGTGAATTTCAGATGCGGCCACATTCTTGCCTTAGAATCGAATTACGGCTCGCACCTCTATGCGAGAACACTTTTCTAGATGTCGTGCCATTACTGTCGCTCTTAAATGTCTGCGTACTGATGCTACTTACTCGTAGAACCGCTGTAGGACAACTAGCGCCATCTGTCAACCACCCTGGGTGGAAATATTCCCTCCACAATTATTACGTTTCAAATGCTTCTGCTTGTAAACTTTTTTTTGGATCAACCTACGTACTTTAAATGGTAAGCAAAAATATAGCACTAAAAAATGAAATTAATAGTGTTTCCAATTTTGTGTTTTTATTGTATGCTTTAAAGCATTTAATGCACTAATTGCTAAATTTTCATCTCAATGACCATTTTGTGAAGGCCTTAAAAGTCTAGAGATATCTTCCAATGAAATTTGGGGTACTTCTGTAATGGGCTTGGTGATAAAGTGAATTTGGCACATTTCTGCTTTGATTAGAAATAAAGTTACCAGTCTACATGTGTGCAATGGTTAATGGTCGAACTTTGTAATTCTGTTATGTCAGTTTAGCAATTTTCCCTTGTAAAATACTCATTATGCTTGCTGTTTTCAATCTTCCATAAATGGAAAAAGAAGCAAGCCCGGCCGGTGCTAGAGCTAGTGCAACCATACAGTTGCACTAGGGAGCAGAATTTAGACTCCCCCCCAAAAAACCTTTTACAATTTAAAAAGAAACTGGGTAGCAAAAAGCGTAGCAACAACCCTGAAAAGAAGATATAGTTGATATGTGATTTATTGGCATGCAGCAATTACAGAATTGAGGCCACTATAAGAGGGCGGTAAAAATGAATTTTCTGGAATGTTTATATACACTGTTTATCATAAATTAAGGAAAAATCACAAAAATAGGAATAATTCCCTCAAAAATAAGCAAAACCATGTAAAATTTGAATATATTGCCAAGTAAGAGTAGCTGAGTAAAACTACGATATGCAAATTAGTGGTGCTGCTTTCGGAATACGTCATCTGCGAGGAGCATACAAGTCCATGTTTGAGAGCAAGCCCACATATTTAAATGTGACAGTGACATCAGAAATCTGAGATAGCCAATTCGTAACAATGACCTCCAGGCATCATTTGCTTGCAGAACTGCGATGGAGAGCTATTGGGAGACTAGAGGCAGGACAAAGTCAAACAGAAGTGGCCAGATGGCTAAATGTGAGTTCTTCTGTGGTTCATAGACTTTGGAGGCAATTTCAAACCACAGATTCTGCATCTAGGAGTTTCAGCCAAAGATGGCCAACTGCTACGACGAACGCCAATGGCCGATATTTGACATTATGTGCACGCAGGAATAGAACCACTACTCCGACTCTTCTCAGATCCTCCCTTGCTGCAGCCACCGGAAGGTTTTGTGTCAATGTCATCTGTGCGTAAAAGGCTTCACGAAGGTGGTCTGTATGCAAGGCAACCAGCCATTTGTGTGCCACTCGCTTCACGCGATAGGAGGGACCGTTTTCAGTGGGCACAACAACATGTCCACTGGACGCCTGATCAATGGAGGGCGGTTCTCTTTACGGATAAGTCCAGGTGTAGTCTAGAAAGTGATAGTAGGTGTTATTTGATATGGAGAGAACCTAGAACTCGTTATCATCCGTCAAACGTCCATGAAAAAGATGCATATGGAAAGGGCAGCGTCTGTGTTTGGGGTGGTATCTCTTTGGGTGGACGCACAGACCTTCGTGTCTTTCAAAGGGGTACTGCGAATGCTCAAATTTATAGAGATGACATCCTTGATGTTTATGTGTGCCCATATGCCGGGGCAATAGGTGATGCTTTCCTGTTACAGGATGACAACGCAAGACCACACAGGTCTTGCATCGTAGATGATTATCTTCAACAGGAAACAATTATGCACATGGAGTGGTCAGCTGGATCCCCGGACTTGAGTTCTATCGAGCACGTTTGGGATGCTTTAGGGAGACGTCTAGCTCCTCTCAATCCGCCCCCCTCAGACCCCTGTCACGCTTGCAACGGCTTAGCAAGAGCGGCTCTCACTTCCTATGGAACTGATAGACCGTATAATTGAAAGCATCGCACATCGTTGTAGTATGTGCTGTGTTGCTTCTAGAGGCGATCATATTCCATATTAAAGGTACTTTCCCGATAGCAAACTGACACCTTCGATTTGTTCATTTTATACATGTGCTAATTTCCATACTACCATATTTGTCTGGTAATTTCTTTTTGTGTTATTTGATACCTTACTATGTGTTGTATATTGTGGGTAAGTTTTATTAAATTCTACATGTAACTTTTTCAGTAATTGCGATTTTTGTGATTTTTCCTTAATTTATGATAACCAGTGTATGTTGCTTTTTCTAAAGAGAATTTTCTCATATGTTTAATAATAAATAGAATTTTCTGGTTTCTTTTAAGTAAAGGGAATTTATGGACATGTTTATATATATATCTTATTTGAAACAAATTATTTCTATTGTGTAACATATAATAAATAATGTATATATTAAATACGTTCTGTTGAATTGTTATTTTAAAAAACTTGCAGACAGAATTGTATTAAATACTATGTTAAATTCAAATTTATATTAAATTCCTCCTATATGTATGCAAATTGCTAGATTTAATATTAGTGGTCAGTATCGTTTCCGGGGATGTTTGTAACATTTGACAAGAAACTACATTCTTTTTCTCTCGCCAAGGCCACTGCAAGAGACAAGTACCACATTAGTTTCTTAAACATACCTTAAATCTATTTTACAAAAAGTTTTTGAATATTAATAAGCAGGTTTAATTTTAGTGTTGAACACCGAGTTCATAATTGTAAGCTTTAACATTAATTTTGTTTTCCAAAGTTCAAAATCTTTCATTGTTTAAATTGTTTTAATGATTAAATACATTGGTAAAAGTATAGTTTAGGGTATCCCTTTTAGAAACTTGGCGGTACATGGATACCGATTTTGTGCAATTCTTTGACTCGTTATTTTGGCTTGCGAAGCGGTGATTTTTGGCGCAAAAATTGCCGCTACACAAAGCCAAAATAACAAGACAAACAATTGCACAAACTCGGTATCCATGTACACATCAACTTATTTTCACTTTAAAAAAAATCCTCGAATTGCACAAAAATGGCATTGCGCACTCTTTTGACTTTATCCATGTACACATCGATA